TTTATTCAAATCGACCAAAATCTCAAACAAGAAATTATTCAATACATGTTGACATTTATGAAAAAATTTCGCTAAATTATCGAGCAAGTTTCTTATATCCAATCGAATTTCCATTTTTACCAGTTCATCGTCTAGCATTTATTGTTACTATTCCAAGTTCAAAAGACTTTATTGAAAGTTGTTCAAATTCAAAATGCATTCATGGCAAATGTGTTATGTATTCGAATAGTCGAGATCATTCTACATATTGTCAATGTAATGCAGGATGGTCTGGTCAATATTGTACTATTCCGTATAATTGCAACTGTTCATCTGACTCAAGATGCATTGGCTTATCTTCTCACAATCGATCTATATGTGTCTGCCCAATGAATAGATTTGGCTATCAATGTCTTCTTACTGATCCTATCTGTCAAAGAAATAATCATTCGATGTGTTTGAATGGTGGTACATGTATCCCTACTGATGAATATGCATTGCCACATAAAAATTTTTATTGTATTTGTCCAATAGGTTATATTGGTGAACGATGTGAAATTGCCGAGAAAAAAATTCATATTTTATTTGAAAAGAATATTATTATATCTCAAGTAATATTTATTCATTTCTTAGAAATTATTAAAGAGATGAACCCAAAAAGATCAACTATTTTAAAAACAGTGCCTATTCAACAAGATTCCTTAACAATTTATTGGTCTTTGCCATTTCATCTGATTTTTATTGAATTTAAAAATAAAAATTATTATCTAGCTGCTATTGAACGAACATACAAACAACCGGCAACATATTCCACAACGGTAAAATCATCTGATCATTGTCCAAATATTAATCAATTATTTAATAAAACATTTGTTCAAATGCATATTATTCGTCGTATTAAATATTATCATCTACCATGTCAACAACATCCATTAAATCTTTCTTGCTTTTATGATGATTTTTATCTTTGTTTCTGTTATAATTTAGAAAAACAACGTCTAACAAACTGTTTTGAATTTAATCATAATATGACATTTGATTGTTTTGGCGAAAGTGTTTGTGAAAATGGAGGCCAATGTTTTCAAGACAGTCCTACTTGTCCACAACGATCAAGTTGCATTTGTCAACCATGTTTTTATGGAATAAGATGTCAATTTAGTTCAAATAGATTTGGTTTCTCACTTGATGGAATTTTAGGTTATTATATTCAACCAAATATTGATATTGTACATCAATCGACTATGGTCAAAGTTAGTTTGGCATTAACTATTGTTTTTATAATAATTGGTTATATTAATGGAATATTATCTTTCATTGCATTCAATAATAAAACAATATGTGAAGTTGGCTGTGGTCTTTATTTATTGACTTCATCAATAACAACTTTACTCACAACTACAATGTTCGGACTAAAATTTTGGGTACTTCTTCTTGCACAAATGAAAATTATTACAAATCGTTTATTTTTGCATATTCAATGTTTGTCTATTGATTTACTCTTACGAGTTTTTCTCAATATGGATCAATGGTTAAATGCTTGTATTGCTGTTGAACGAACAGTTGTAATCATAAACGCGATTGGCTTTAAAAAAAAGAGAAGTAAAAAAATAGCTAAACTAGTTATCATTATTCTTTCAATCTTCATTATTTCGACTTGTATGTATGATCCATTTTATCGACGTTTAATGGATGATGCAATCGATGATGATAGCAGAATTTGGTGTGTTACTTCTTATTCATCTAATTTACAAATGTTCAATACGTTTATACATACATTTCACTTCTGTGCTCCGTTTGCTATTAATCTTGTCTCGACTGTGATTCTCATCTTAAAAACATCTCGTCAACAAGCAAAGTTTCGAAATAATACAAAATACATAGTGATTTTTATAGAACAAATTCAAGTACATAAGCATATATTGGTTGCTCCTTTTGTAATAGTTATACTTGGAATACCACG